GCTGGTGGAAGTTTCTGGTAGCTGTCCCAAGACACAGACAACTTCTTACAATAGACTAAATCCAGCAGCAACAATAGACCAGCACAGTCATAAGGTGATGATGACCTATGTTTCTTCCACTAGGTTTTGTTTTTGAGACAGGGTATCTCTGTAGCTTTGGAGCCTGTCCTTGAACTCTGAAGACCAGTCTGGCCTTGAATTCACAGAGATCCACCTGTGTCTGCGTCCCAAGAACTAGGATTAAAGGCGTATGCTGCTGCCACCATACAGCCTTCCACATTTTCCCTCTCTGTCATCTTTCTATGTTTGATAAGGCAGATGAAATTATGCTCAGGAGTGGGGTTGAGTCAGGAGCCAGTCAAGCATGGTGGCTCATGCCAGTAATCCCAGCATTTGGGAAGAGGAGGGAGTAGGATGAAGAGATAGAGGGGAGCCTGGGTCACACAATGAGCCATTGCTTCAAAGAGAAAATGTCATGAGCCAAAGGCTAGCTCCCAATCATAGCTGGGTGTGTCTCTGTTTCCCTGGGCTCTGAAATTGGGGCTGGAGGCTGGCTGAATGTAAACACAGGTTTAAACAGTGAGCTCAGAGGTGGAGTGAGCAACTCTGGGACACAAACAAAACAGCTCATAATACGCAATCAAATAGCTCTCCAAAAATCAGCAAGAAAACAAATCGAGTTTGTGGATAGAGCGTCAGGTAATTGTCCTGTTCAGAGAAATCTGGGGCTACTGAGTCCCAGTGTAGGAGCAACATATTGAGTGGTTTACGGCTCTTGGAAGGGTTATTGTTTTCCCCTCTTGGCCAAATGACAGACTTTGATAGAGGATAGGTAATGTTCTCTTCAGTGTAACCCACACAGCATGCTACCTCTGAACAGTGGCTCTCTCACATGCTGTGTGTGCCTCAGATTGGGATGCTTTGGTTGAAATAGCGCAATCAAGGCTCACCATGGTCAGTGTGAATGCCTATTTGTTACTAATAGTTCTGTCTCTTTTGCATGATTCTGAACATCTTCCAGAAGTCAGATGTGCCCTGAGGGTATTCTTGATGGGTGGCCCACAGAGATAGGGTACAGACGGATGGTGATCCCACCAAGGACTGGCTCAAAAGGATTTATGTATTTTTTATGACTATGAGTGCTTACCTTCAGGTATGTCTGTGTACCTACATGTGTGCCTAGTGCTTGGAGGCCAGAGGAGGGCATTGGATTCCCTGGAGCTTGAGTTACCAATGGTTGGGTGATCATGTGGTTGCTGGGAACTGAACCCAGGTCTTCTGCAAGAGCAGTATGCCCTCTTAACTGTAGTTATCATTTCTCCAGTCCCTAATTTGTTTATCATGAATTTTTCTTCATGAAGTTAAGCTTCTTAAAGATATTTGATGGCTTCACTGAGACACTGAAGGGTTTTGGATGTACCCCTAACTTTGTGTGTTAGAATTTAACCCCTAGAGCAACGGTGGAGAGGTGACCCTTTGATCAGTAAATTGAGGGCTCACACAAATGCTCTAATTCCTTGTTTTGGACGGGTTTCAAAAGTTTGCTGAACTCTGAAGATTCTCTGTATGTCTTCCCGGTCTAAGCTTTGAGCTCCTGTGGCTCCTCCTATCCCATCTTCTGCTGCTGTCCTCCATCTTGCTGTCTCTGTGTCGCATCGATTTTCTTAGCCACCTTACGCTGGTGACAGACCTCTTTCTTTTTCTGGGCTGTAATCTCTTAGTCAAATCTGGTTGAACTGGAAACACCTTTGGGGGCATCTGCTCTGGTGGCCACTGAATGGGAAGGAGAAATGGTCCTTTGGGAACCTCCCCGGCTTTCCAGCCAACAACAACAACAAAAAAGTAGGAAATACCATGCCCGTCAGAGCGCAGGGATTTGCCCGGTACGAGCAGAGGGAACAATGTGACCTTATGCCGTTGTGGGTCCATTCCAGGACACCTGGTCTGTGGGGTGGCATCCCCCCAGTGGATCATGAGTCACTGTGTTCCTTCTTGCCACAGCTCATTCTCTGCTCACTTAATGGCCCCATCCTCTGTCATTTTCCCCATCTGCAGAATGGGGACTGTGATTCCGGGCACACAGGGTGCTGGGAGCGGTAATGAATGTTCTGAGGCACGTTGAGATCTGTAGATAAACAAACCTCAAGAAGAAGAAAGTGTTAATGAGCCCGGGGTTGAGCAACCGGCCTTGAGAAGTAGCCTTATTTCCCACAGAAGAGTTCTGGGCAGGCATGCATCTTCTGGCTGCCTCTAGAGGAACCAAAACAGGGGGTTAGGACATCGCTCTTCCCTGCACAGTTCAGCTCTCAGGCAAACAAGAGATGGGAAAGCAAGTCCAGAGCCGTGCTAATGTGACCTCAAGTCCGGAGCCGCGCTAACCGGACCTCCAAGGTCGCCTGTCCTTTCAGTGTACTGTTTAATAGGACAGCTTGGCATGGGTTACATCACTGTGTGTCTCAGTGTGGAATGTGTGGCCTGTCAACGGCTCATGCACAGTCTGTCTGTCTGTCTGTCTGTCTGTCTCTGTGTCTCAGTGTGGAATGTGTGGCCTGTCAACGGCTCATGCACAGTCTGTCTGTCTGTCTGTCTGTCTGTCTCTCTCTCTCTGTGTCTCAGTGTGGAATGTGTGGCCTGTCAACGGCTCATGCACAGTCTCTCTGTCTGTCTGTCTGTCTGTCTGTCTGTCTGTCTGTGTGTGTGTGTGTGTGTGTGTGTGTGTCAGTGTGGAATGTGTGGCCTGTCAACGGCTCATGCACAGTCTGTCTGTCTCTGTCTGTCTGTCTGTCTGTCTGTCTATCTCTGTGTGTGTGTGTGTGTGTGTGTGTGTTGGGTATGAAACACATGTCCTCATGCATGTAAGACAAGCTTTCTCCCAGCTGAGCTCCATCCCCAGTCTTTGTGGTTCTTCTCTGTCTGTAGCAAGTTTGTTCATTCATAAGAATAACCACCGTTTATGAAGTGCCTACTGTGTGCTGGGCGCTGGTCCTCCCAGATGCCTGCCTACTGTGTGCTGGGTGCTGGTCCTCCCAGTCGGTTGCCTACTATGTGCTGGGTACTGATCCTCCAAGCTGCCCACTGTGTGATGGGCGCTGGTCCTCCAAACTGCCTGCCTACTGTGCGATGGGCACTGGTCCTCCAAACTGCCTGCCTACTGTGTGATGGGTACTGGTCCTCCAAACTGCCTGCCTACTTTGTGCTGGGTGCTGATCTTCGAAGCTGCCTGCCTACCTTGTGCTGGGCACTGATCCGCCCAGCTACCTGCCTACTATGTGTTGGTTGCCTACTGTGTGCTGGGTGTTGATCCTCCCAGCTGCCTGATGAGTAGATTCTTTTCTTCCTTGGTGAAACATATTGAGACGTGCAGATTTAAAAGGGCCGCATAAGCTGTCCAGACTTTCCCAGGTGCCAAGGAGCAGAGACGGGATTTCTCTCAGACAATTTTCTGTTCCTCATCTGGCCCTATTCTCCTTCACCATATTCCCATCTATGGCATTGATAGGAAGTACAGTCATCGCCCAGCACCCATGGAGGGGTGTTCTCAGTCTTCACAAACCACAATCTGCAGGTGCTCAAGTCCCTCCCACAAAATGCTGGGATATTTTCACATAAACTATGCACATCCTCATCTAAATTTTAATCTCCAGATCACTTATAATACCTATGTGACCCATCCACTTTATACAGTGCTTCGATTGGCTCGTTTAAAGTGTAGTGACAAGCAAAAGGCCAGTGTAAAGCAACGATCCGCACAGGGTCAAGTGTGGTTTACTGACAGACAAGTCGGGAAGTCAAAGCATTGCAGTCACAGGACGGAACAAAACAGCTGCTGTTGCAGGTCCAGCCAACACACCGTCACCGTTCCCGCCACCACCGCGCTGTTCCAAAAGAGGATGCAAACCAAGATGTAGCTCTGCCAGCTCTTACGTGGTCCAGGAGAGCGTGCAACCCTTGGCCCTCAGTTCTTATCCAGTCACGCAGCCAGAGAAGGCCATACCCATAGGGCCAACCTACTCCATTCCATTGGTCATTAGACCGAACGGCCAAGTTCCCACAACACTAGTGTGTAATGATGTATTATTGATGATTTATTAAAGCTTGACTGAGGATTCAGAAAGCAAAGTCAGCCTCAAGCTATGAAGATCAGGCAGTGGTGAAACACACCTCCCAGCAGCCAGAAGCTAGGAGGTGGTGGTGCACACCTTTCATCCTAGGACTCCGGATTCAGAGGTAGCCGGATCTCTGTGAGTTCAAGGCCACCCAGATCTACACAAGAGTGAATCAGTCTAAAAGAGAATTCTTGCTCACACCTTTAATCCCAGCATTAGGGAAGTATGTAAGACATAAGGAAGGTCTCAGTATGATGCACTCATTCTCCAGCCACACTAGGGAGAGGTGACAGTCTGAGACCTGGTGAGAGCTCAGAGAGACAGGGCCAGCCCATTCAGAGCCTGAGGTAGAGGTGAGAAGCTCCAGTGCGTATTAGTACTGACATAATTGTTTTCCCCATATTTTCTGCGGTGCTTGTTAAAGTCCATAGATACGGAAGGCACAAACCAGGAGGGCCAACTGTAGTCTTAAGAAGGAATACTGAACATTGGAAGACATTAAGAGATAAACGGTTAAACATTACAGAAGCTGTAGGTGTCAAAGCCGGGGACCACTGTGTCCCAGCTCCCTAGAAGATGGCTAATGACGCAGAGTGATCACAAGCGCATCTCTGCCGTTGGGTTGCGCGAGTCTGCACTGGCCCCTGACTCCTCAGGGTGTCTCTGTAGATCAAGAAGTGGGGACACACCTCTCTCCCACACTCTCAGTTCCCATCCTGCCTGAGAGAGACAGCAGCAGCAGCAGCTGCGTGCTCCATGTTCTGCTGGGCTGTCCCTCTTGGCCCTACCGTCAGGGAAGTCATGAGAAGGGACAGAGGCTCTGTTCAGGAGCCTGCTCCGTGAACGGATTTGTTTTCAGGCCTCACACTGAGGCGGGGGTGATCATTTCCGTCTTGTAGGCGGGTGCTGGGGTGGGAGTGAGAAGTGAGCATGCGCATTGCTTTAGCTGTGTCTGTGGAGGCTGGCGTTTACAACGGTATCGATTATCCTAATGGGTGCAAGCTTTCAGTGAGGATTTCAGGGTGTGGCGAGATCAGGAAAACCTATGAATTCCTGAAGAGAGAGGAGTGGAGGTCAAGGAAACAGCCTCTGTACCCCGGAGTCACGCCATTGGACAATCTTCGTCACAACTGACTATGCACCCCAACAGCAGCACCGTTCCCTGTGTTGTGTGCCGAGTGTCACACGAATCAGACCCTTGACTGTCTTGAATCGTCTCACTGTAACCATGGAGGTCTCCAGTACAGGCGGCCTTCCAAATATGCTGACAGTGCCACCGATCAAAAATGCTGGGGGGGGGGCACGGCATTTGTGGTGAACACCCGTTTTCCCTAAACGGCAAAGCGTCACCGCCATGCTCCTTGTGTTGACGCTGTGTTAGGTGCAATGAACAATCCAGAGGAGACTTAAGGAAGTCGGGAGAATGTGCACAGGTCATACGCAACTGCAGCATCATTCTATAAAACACTGGAGCTGCCACAGAAATGTCCCAGTGACAGCACCCAGTACGAAGTAGGTGCCTCATAGGTTCAAGAGCCAATGCCTTAATAATGACACACCACTGTCGCAGGGCAAAGGTCCCTCCATCTCGCCTCAGCTGAAGCCATCTTTGGTTTCTACCCGCTGCCCAGAAAATTCCAGTGGGAAGGCACAGAACCCTGTTCTGGAAACTCAGACAGAAACGTCCCAGCTAACTGCGTGTTCTTGTCTCCTGTTAATCGGCTTGCTTCCCCCTGCAACCGCCAACCAGCACCTAGCTTTCCCGTGTTGTTTGTCTTTAAAAGTCCCCTCTGCTCAGCATTTGGGCATGCTCTGTGGGAAGTGTTTCTCTCCAGGCAGTCACCAGCCTGTGCAATACAGATTCTCAACTCGAACTTTGGTCAGGCTGAGTGGTCGTTGGGTCTTCATCCCATAACATTACCACTGAGACTCTTTGAACAGCCACGGTACTAACGGTCATCATGCCGGTGACAGCAGTGCCAGTGACGATGGGAATTGGATTAGCCAGGGGTTATGGCTGGTGTTAATCTAATGGTGTCAGTCTAAGTGGTAGATTCCAGACTCTGCTGCCAACCCCCCTCCACTCTTGGTGGCCTGACACTTATGTTTGCTTTGATGCTAAGTATGCGGTGGTGGTTGGGAGTGTGTCTTCTCAACAAGCAGGACTTGAGGACCTGTCCCCTTCCATTTTGTGACTGTCGCCTTAACCAAGGAGCTTTTGAAGTCATTGTGGAAGGGGAAGAGAAAGTGTGGCAATAGGTCAGAGGCGGTGAGGAGCTCCCTATTGGCCACAATTCTCCTGACCTGACTGCGAGGGAGATCCGGTGGTCTTGCGTGCCCGGGGAAAAGAGGAAACAGGATTGGGGAGCCATTGTGCAAGCTGCGGAGGGAGGCTGTAAGCCTGGAGGTCTATCTGGAAGTCACAGAATGGATGGCGGTGCTGCAGAAACAGGGTGGAGACCCCGGGAGTCAAGGATCATTTCAGGTCAGCAGCACAGGGCTGCTGTCCATGGCTCTCCCATCCTCTGGGGTTTACGTTGGTTAGACTACAAAGAAGTCATTTGGGAAGCCGACAATTGGCTAAAGGGCTAGAGCCAGGCATTTACAAGAAAGGGAGCAGCATGAGAGAAAACAACGTGTCTAGTGCCAATCACCTTAGGTGAGAACTTTGGTTTCTTCATGCAGCCCTGTTTGCCTCCCCCTGGTGGCCACTATAGGCAATTGCAGTTCCTTTCTTGGAGAAGAGCATTGGTAGCTTGAACAAGATGGTGTTACTCACTATCTCCTCACTCACCTGAGAATCCTGACGTCAAACTCCCAGCAGATGACACACCCTGTTCCAACGACAGCTCTGGTGACATTTCCTGAGGAATAACAGTGACACCAAATCCAGCATAGAAACCAAGAAAGGTCATTCGACTGCTCCCTGCCCTTTGGGATTCGGCCCTCTGACTTTTCCTTCAGCGACACTGACAGATTCCCTCCCCCTTTCTGTGCCATTGTTTCTTGGGGAGTCATATCACAAAACAACGGTGACGACTGCACTTTAAGCGCCTTTGTTGACTTCCCACAATCTAGTCCATTCTAGCTGCATCTCCTAGGCCTACCGTGCGCATTGAAACATGGTTTTAATGCATCTGAAAACCTGACATGCGCATGTCAGGAAACGGAGGCACATCGAGCCTGTGTGATTTGCAGAGAGCGCCATTGCTTGTTTGTGGCAGACCCTGTGCTAGGGTGGTAAGACACTTTCCTCACACCGTACTGTACCAGTCGTGACCATGACTGTGCGGGACGGCGTTTTAAAACACCCCCGGCCATTCCGGCCCAGATGGCCTGTATCGTTCGCACTGGTGATCTCTGGCATAGCAGAGAAGCACTGAATTGGTAAGTAAATCTTCTACATACTGGTTCCTGGAAGTTTGATACATCACTCTTGGCTTTCTCGAGTTTCCGTTTACTTGTCTGCCGTGTGTCTAATGGTCGCGGCATCACTCTGGTCATTCACTAGGCTAAACAGCAATGATTGACTTTGGTGCCTGGTATTCAAGACATCCGCCATCCTTCACATGACCTAGATTATTCCTGTAAGTTCCAGTCAGGCCAGGGGCTTTGTGGGAGTGGCTCAAAGAAGATTTGGAGAAAGCAGACCTGCGCGGCTGTGGGGGTGGGGTAGTGGGGTGCAATGGGGCGGGGCAGGGCACTGAAAGCCTTGTTGAGATACGTCAAGACGTGTCCGGTGTACAGAAAATTGGAGAGGACTCCATGACGAAATCAGCTGCCCCCTTGGGGTCCCTGTCGCCATGGGGTTTGGACTACCCTCCTGAAGGTCTACCCACACTTGTCTCTCCCTGCCATGAGCACTTTGATGCATTCTCCCTTGCGATCCACAAGGACGGTATGTCTCATTACCAGTGACCTGAAATGCAGAAGTGTCGTGGTTAGAAACCACCCCTGTGGCCACCCCCAGGGCCACCGCTTTGCCACGTCAGCCTTTGAGTCACCAGACAAGTGAAACCCAGGGAGACCACAGGGTCACCCGGGCATCCCCCACGCCCATGCGTTGCTCTGTGGTCTATGGTAGGGGTGGCTTCTGCTTGCCTCGGCCTTCAGCTGCCTGTCTGTCACGTTCTGCTATTCTTTTTTCTCTGGATGGCCCACTGCGTGTTTGATCATGTTCGAACATCTGCTTTAAGAGACTGCACCGACTCCTCCCAGTGGTCCTCACCAGCAAGCCTGTGTGTTGCCACTTACCTGATCCCATTGTACCACAAGCTCTGTGACTTAACCTTCTCCATCTTCTATCAGACTGTGAAACTCGAGGGCTGGGACCGTGTCTTACCTCCCACACAGACTAACACTTGGGGTGCTGTAGTGGTATGTTGTTTATGATTTAATAAAGCTTGCCTGGGGTTCAGAATGCAAAGCCAGCCGCACTGGTTACCCATAGAAGCTGGGCACTGGTGGCATACACCTTTAATCCCAGGACTCAGGAGAGAGGGGCAGATGGTTCTCTTTGAGTTCAAGACCACCCTGGACTACATGAGAGTGAATCAGTCTAAAAAAATAAACAGAGCTCACATCTTTAACCCCAGCCCTAGAGAGAATGTAAGGAAGAGGCAAAGGGTCTTGTGTGAGATTTAGTTTCCAGTCACAGGGAAGACGGATCTCCGTTTCAGCCTTGGTAGAGTAGGAGCTACCGGCTGGCTTTGCTTCTCTGATCTTCAGATGGAAGCCCAACATCTGTCTCTGGGTTTTTATTATTCATGCTACAGGATGCAGTAGGTACTTTGAAGTCAACATTAAATAAGTTATTCATGATGTGGTTAATTTCTACGGTGAATTTGACTGTGAGCATGGCTCTCACGCTACCAAATTGCTGGTACTTGGAATTCACTGGATAAAAATATCCAGTCTATAAGAGCTGTCTTGAAGGTTGTGGTTGGCACCGACTGTCTACTCTTTGTGGTTGGCACCGACTGTCTACTCTTTGTGGTTGGCACCGACTGTCTACTCTTCCTTCTTGCTCTCTTGCATGGCATCTTTGCAGGGAATGCCGTACTGGCACGACATTAGCAGCGGTGGCAAACAGTGTCAGAGTCATGTTAGGTGACAGGCGTCGGAAAATTCAAGGTGACCGCAGCTTGAGTAGGTATGCATCCCTCATGTGACAGACGCAGGTAGTTCCATCCAGGATTTCTGTGATGGTCTTACTCCACAAAGTCCTCAGGGACCCTGGTTATCTTGTCTTTCCATGTCACTGTGTGAACTTTAGCCACTGTCCTTTGTGGCCCAGAATGGAGTTTCAGTAGTCACATCTACCTTTAAAACACAGCCAGGAAGAGAAGGGGGGAGGAATGGATTCTGAGCTCAGCCAGCCAACTGTCTCTAAAAAGGTTCCTAGAATTTCCTGGAGTCTATCACATGCCATTTTGTTTACATTCCATTGGAGGAACCTGACCATGCCTACCTGCGGAAACATCTGGAAAGTGTAGGCTTTGCTCTGAGTGACCTTGCTCACAGTATGTGAAAAGGGGGTGAAATAGAATTGAGGCCTTATCAGCAATGTCAACACAATACATAGGACCCACCTCAAAGAGAATAGGAGTTTACTCTGGAGTCAGATATGAATGAGTGACCACGGTCCGGGAATGCGGATTCAGGTTGCCCCATATACCATGGTCCAAGGTGGTAACAGTTTCTTGAAGGTTTTTTGTTGTGGGGTATTTGATCACACTCTGACCCCCGAGTGTGTTAATAAAGTTAACCTTGAATCAGGGGGTGGAGCTAGCAATTGGTTGACAAGAATTAGTCATAGAGTATATGAAAGACTCAGGACATAGACAGAAAGGCCAAGGAAGGAGCAGGGAGGAACTTGGCAATTTGGAGCTCTTCTTCCTTCCATCTGGGGCTGGAGAGTGTGGGGAGAAGGTCATCTGGCTGCTCCTCCTCCTTTGACCTATTAGGTCTTCACCCCAATATCTGACTCCCGAGTCTTTACTGATACCAGAACAACTTAGACAAAAGACAGGTTTTGTATCTACAGAACCAAATGGAGGTAATTCCCGAGAGCCCTGGTAGGTGAGTTTTATTTGGCCAACCATGGGAAATCTTAGCTTTGGCATTGGTGGGGGGTGGGTCTGTTCCTACATTCTAAAAGGTTTCATGAGATAGTCATGAGCATGATAAATTAGACAGAGGTGGGCAACGGGTACTCATTAAGGGACTGAAGCTAGCCTGTTGCTAGAGTTTTTCTGTCCAGCTTGGACCTGAAGCTGATTTGCCCCCAAATAACACACAAAGACATATGTTACTTATAAAACTGTTGGCTGATGGCTAGGGCTTCTTATTGGCTAGCTCTGTCTTATCATCCCATTTCTATAAATCTGTGTACTTCCACGTGGTCTTGGCTTACTGGAGAATGCCCAGACCTGTTACTCCTTTGGCACACCATGGTCTCTCCTGGAGGCTCTCTCTGCCTGCCTTTCCCAAAATTCTCCTCGTCTCCTAGTTGGACCTTCTGCTTCCCCACCTTCTAGTCACACCCAAAGTGGTCATGACCACTAACACAAAGTCGCTGGCAAGGTGAGATGCCACTACACTAGCCCGAGATGATTTGGTTCTGGGTGGAAACTTTGGCCCTCCATGACTGAGAGATTCTAATTAGTCAGTCTGCCTCATAGATGTTAACACGGGAGTGCCCCCCCTTAGTTCACAATACATTTGCCATGCATGACATTTGCTTAGCACTTCATTGTCTGGGCTGACACTCACCTGGCAGGTGATGTAGATGGCTTGTTTGAGGACACACAGGGTACATGCAGAATCAGGAGAGCAAGCCGCTGTTTCTGCGATGCTCTGTGATGCTCTTTTGCTGTTGTCCATGATGAGGTGAGGCGGGCGTCTTCCCAACTTCCCGTTGGTCCTAGTGTATGAGTGTGGGAGAAATGAAAAGGGCATCATCTTCCCTCTTCTGTGTAGACAGAGCCTTGAGCGCCGGACCGTGACGTATTCTGAACACACTGGTGGTGTTCAATGGTATCGAAGTGGAGCCCGGAACACGGAAGTACTCAATGGAATGTCGAAAGTCCCCATGGGAGCCTAACCTCTCTCGTCTACTAAGATAACAAGGCATACTCTCACAGCATGAAGCAGTCTTTAAATCTCAGTTTCTAACTAGCTTCACAGTTGGTGGAGGATTTGTGGCTCACAAAATGGTATTGTGTAGGAGCAATCCCAGCACTTAGAGGTGTGAAGGCCTGTTGGAGCTCCTTCCAACATGAAGTTCTTTTAATTATCACTGAGCTTTTCACAGCTCGACGTTATTATCCTCGTTTTAGAGGCAAGAACACCTAAGGAACGAGTGGAGTTGTTGGAAAACTCACCTGCCTGACTTGGGTGGCTGTGGTCTCAGGATACCTTTTTAAAAAATAATTTACTTTTTTATGTGCATTGGTGTTTTGACTGCATGTGTGTCTGTGTGAGGGTGTCAAGAAACCCTGGAACTGGAGTTACAGACAGGTGGGTGCAGGGAATTGAACTGGATCATTGGAAGAGCAGCCAGTGCTCTTAACCACTGAGCCATCTCTCCAGCCCTGATTCCTTCCATCTTAAGAGTTTCCCCAACAGCAGGGAAATGCTGATAGCGAATGTTGAAGGCTGTTGCAGAGGCAAGAGGTCTTCAACAACGTGATACCCATTGTTCTAGGAAACACAGCAGTGGCTAGGTGCAGAACCAGACAGTGCTGGGCAGTGTGTGTGTGTGTTTATGTGTTTGTGTGTGTGTGTGTGTGTGTGCGCGCACACGTGTCTGTGTGTGTTGTAATTTTTAAAAAGTGGTACAAGAGAGAAAGACACCATGCAGCAGAGTTCAAGTGGAGTTTTTTTTTAATTAAGGAAAAAAGGATCATTAAAAAGGGAAAGGGGAGGGAGGAGACTGGCTTCCAGGGACTAGAGCAGCAGGGGAGAGATAGATAGATAGGGAGAGAGAAAGAGAAAGAGAGAGAGAGGGGGGGAGAGGGAGGGAGAGAGAGAGAGAGAGAGAGAGAGAGAGAGAGAGAGAGAGAGAGAGAGAGAGAGAGAGAGGAGGTGGGCGGGGCCCTTTTAAAAGGGAACACAGTGAATGTGCACAGGTGGTGCTCTTAGTGGCCGCAGCTGAGGGCGTATCCTGTCAAAGCTGGTACAGATACCTGAATACTAACTCTCTCTCTCTCTCTCTCTCTCTCTCTCTCTCTCTCTCTCTCTCTCTCTCTGTGTGTGTGTGTGTGTGTGTGTGTGTGTGTGTGTGTGTGTGTGTGTAAGTTCGGCTTGCTTGCAGGCTGAGGGAGTGAGGCCTGGGAATCCAGGAAGTGCAAACGATGCAGAAGGGAATGCAGCTGGAATAGAGG